ACCGCTCATACAGTATACTTCAGTAACCCCCTACCTTGACTGGCTCTTTGGCCTTGTAGTCAGTGAACATTAGTAAAAAAAAAAAAATTCTAACATATTTTTTCATTTTTTATTTTATTATTTCCTCTACTTTCGATTTTTTTTCTTTTACATACCTACCATTGTTTTCCAAATCAATTGATTTTCAAAAAAAAATCCGCTTAATTAAAGTCAATTAGTTATAATGAAACCAATAGAAGAAATGCCAGACTAGTAAATAATTTGCTTACTGAAACTCTTTTAAGAATTGTAATTTTCCCTCGCGCGCCCGCACACGCATACATACACATACACATACACACACGTGTTCGTGTATTTTCATTTACTTTCAATTACTCAGTTGATAATGACTAATGAAAATGTAAATTAACCGTTGCAAATCAAAGAAAGTCTGAAGTCTTATTCGTACACAAAAAAACATTTTTTAAATAGTAGGAAGGATTCGATTTAACGTCTGTTACTAATTTATTTGTTGTTGTTCGTTTAAGTTTCTCAGGAATTTCAGGTGTGTTGAAAAACTTGATTTGATTCTATGTTTTACACGTTCAGCGTTGATGGCATTAAAAATAACGATATAAATACAGATAAGAGACTTATTCTATATCGTTATTCAAGTCATTTTATTTAATTTATTTAATTCTTTCTTTTGAGCCTGTCAACAATGAATGTCGAACAACACTGAATTATAATACAAGCATTATTAACGCATGTTAAATTGAACTCGAAATTGAACTCTCGAAATGAACAACACTGAAATTGAACTCTCGAAATGAACAACACTGAAATTGAACTCTCAAAATGATAAGTCTTTGGCTTAAATTCTATAGCAGATTAGATTATTAAGCAACGAGTGATAATTTTGATCTCGAAATTTCAGGATGTTATGCATTTTGTGAGAAAAAAATAACGGAAGTTGAAACTAATATTATCCTTTGATCCAAATCAATTAAGTATTTTAGTTTGAAAATTAAATTTGAACAAAAATAATATCAAACTATAAATTTGTCATTTTTTCAAATTAAAATGAGCAATTTGATTCTAATTTATGAAAAATTTTAAAATGACAAATATATGCTTTATTACGATTATTGTTGCTATTATTATTATGATTATTACAAAATAAGATTTGAATAATAATAATAAAATTCAGGAAATGTATGCTTGCTGACATAGCAGTACCATCATGGAGAAATAACTCTATGACAATTATCGAGAAATTGTCCAAATACAGGAACCTGAAGATCGAGATTAATAGGATTTGGGGAATGAAGACTGAGATTGTACCAATAGTAATCGGAGCTCTGAGCCTCGTGAGAAAAGGAATGGACAATTTTACTAACAGTGTTCCAGGTAACATCAACATACAAGTTGCCTAGAATATCGCCCTACTAGAAACATCCCAAGAAAAGTGCTATCAATTAAATGACAATTCTCCTACAAGGCCTCAGGACCATAGTTTGGACCCGGATTGACTGGATACAAAGCAGGAAACATAATACACACAATAATAATAATAATAATAATAATAATAATAATAATTTTATACTTTGTTGGGTGTTACTCCCTCACTCAACATCATTTATTAATTAAAATTAAATATTAAAATAATAATAAAAAAAAAAATAGAAAAATGTGGCACATGTGGACATCAATAATTCCAGTAGTAGTTGGAGCCCTCGGATTGATTGGAAAAGGTTCCGATAGATTCATTGAAGGGATTCCTGGTAGCACATGCCTTAAAGAAATACAACATTACGAAGAGCTCTATTTAAGTAAAATGTGTGTTTTTTTTTTTTTTTTTTTACAAAAATGATTAGTGGAAAATATCATGAAGCCATTTCTGACCTTAGGTTTCTGGTTGGAACCCGGAAGGAAATGTGTATACAACAAAAATCATTAATAATAATAATAATAATAATAATAATAATAATAATAATAAAAGAACAATAACACATTGAAAAAATTCTAGCTTAAGAGAAATACAAAAAATTGTCTTGATAAGTATAGCCTACACTAAGAAGAACTTTGTCCATGTAATGCTAGTGATGTTATGAGAGGTAGAAAAACAAATCATCAAATGTAGCCATAACAACACACTACTACTTGCCTTAGGTCTTCCCGCAAACATGGTAGGTAGTGTGACCATAGCAGAAATCAAAATATAATGATGATGGTAATAATAATAAAAATAATAATAACCTTCTAATAATAAATATACCCTCATTAAAGGTTAAATTTTGCTTTACGACTTAGGATTGTGTGTTTTTTTTTGTCTTGTGTGTGTGTGTGTGTGTGTGTGTTTGTTGTTCTCAAATTCTAATGACTTGATAGTTTTCAATTCTCTTTGCCTTGGTTGGTTGCTTACTTTTCCTTTCCGCCTATATTTTTTGACCAATCCTTTCATGTTCTGTTCTATACTTGAGTTGTAATCCTATCTACCACTGTTATTCAAACATCTGACTTAGCATTTCTTTCTTTTAATTTATTCTTTTGCGCGCATTTACTACGATTTAAAACGGTCGGAGAAAATCACAGCCATTCACTCTTTTTATGTTGCGACCTTAATTACTGATAACATTTTTAGTCTTTTTTTCTAATGCGATTGTTTTTGTTTTTTAGTGTTGTCATCTTCATATCAGTCTTTACGTATTTTTTTTTTAGTGTTGTCATCTTCATATCAGTCTTTACGTATTTTTTTTTTTAGTGTTGTCATCTTCATATCAGTCTTTACGTACTTTTTACACAGATTTGTGATTGTTAATTTTTAGTTTTACTTTTAAAAATATTTTTTAACTTTTTTATTTTTATTTATTTATTTTTACATTTATAAGACGACAGTATTTTGAGTTTAAAAAAAAAAAAGGAAACATTGATTATCATCGAGTGTTCTTTCCAAACCACCAGTTGATTTCAAAGGAACGAATTGTAGAGAATTCCTTAAACTGGAGCTATTTACAAGATTTTTTTGTGTCAGATAAAAAATAAAAGCTGGGCTTAGCTCTGCTAGGCTTTATAAAGGATTTTCAAATTTTTGCCAATTCTTTCTATGATAGACAAATACCGGATTCAATTTTTTGTTGCATGATAGAAAATTGGGGGAATTAAGACAACATAGTCTGAAATTCTTAATCATTTCCATATTTAAAGAATAATTCACTTAAAGTCGTCCCTTAAAACTATGTTTAATTTATTATTATCAACATACCAAAATCGTATTTAATTTAATTATATCATATTTTTCTAATCCCATCGAAATTTACTTGTACTGGTTTTGGCTATTTTATAACTATTTTTTATCAATACCCCCGCCATTGAATATTTTCGATCACTGGATTTGTATGCAAGAAGAATTATGAAGATCTATGATATGAAGTCTTTATAAATTTAATTTTTCTAGGAATAATACATCGAAAATTAAAAAGCTAACTTGTTGATTTACTTTCACCGATCTGAAATATTATTTCAATTATTATATATTATTATTATTATTATTATTATTTAATAAATTAAGAAATGTCTAAGTGATTAGCCGACTCAAGAGTTTCGCATCAAAACGCTCATCTGAGTTTTTTTGGTAAATCTGTGGAACTTCTTATCAGGACCAATATTTATACGCTTTCTGAGCCAACGAACGTTAATTCTAGCTTTCAAATTCCAAATGTTGTAAGATTTAAATTTAGAGCACGTTAATTTTTTTGTTAATTTTTATTTTTTTTTTAAATTAACAGGTTCTAAATTTAATTAGTGGGACATTTCTAATAAAACTCTAATGTGTTAAAAATTTAAAATTTGAAAGTTGGAATTATCGTTCGTTTGCTCAAAAAGAGTATAAACACGGGATCTGATAAGTAAGTTCAATAGATTTATCAAACATTTGTCCCTGATGGGCGTTTCGATGCGAAAATCCCGTGTCGGCTAAAAATAGATGTCCGAACATTTCCTAATTTATTGAATATTATACCTCTCTAGTTATAGATCGAGCACTGCCAACCTGAAAAATTCTGTTTTATTATTATTATTATTATTATTATGAATTGTAATTGCTTTCTTTTAATCAGCTTTTCAGTATTACATACACTGTTTTGATTACATTTGCTTTTGCTATGATGTGTTGTAGTATTATTTAAAAGTGTCTTATCAGAAATGATAATAAAATTGATTACCAAGCGAATCAATTTCACCAGAAACTGGTTACTCGCTCCAATATTTTTAAACATTTTTAATAGACTTAAAAATCAATATAAAATTAGTTCGTCAATTTGAAAAATTTAATTACGTATCACAACAATTTCCCGTTAAATAATAACAGATAAAAATATATATTATTCTTTTTTATTATTTTATTTTATCTTTTTCCCAAAAATCCTTCTTTAAAATATCAAAGTTGTTATATCACAAAGGGAATACTTGGGAAGAATATTAAATAACGGAATAAGTCGAATGAAAAAAGTTATTTAATGATTAATTTACGAAGAATTTAGTATTTTTATTTTTTATTTTTTTAGTAGTCGTAGTTTAGCTTTCAGATCAGTAGTGAGTGATGGCTTTCACTGGAGATCAAGTGACAACAGGTCTCCTCACTCGTCCAATATTCTCTTTTGTATTCAAAATGATTTAAGTAGTATTGTGGCTTATATGGTTTTTGATTCTTAGATGTCGACGGCTTCCAGCTTCTTTTCCAGGCTCTGTTCAATAGTTCATTGTTGTTATTGCTGTTTACGCCTTTTGTTTTCTGTTTAGTACAATCCCCTACCGGCTCATTACCCGAAACCTGGGCTAAGGGAAGCTACTAAATATATGCGTTCTGTTTGCAGAAATTCTGATATTAAGGGATACTTAACAAGTATATAATTTAATGACTTTGCATTGATAATAGGGGTTTAGGGCGATATCATGTTCAAACACCGAAGTTAAGCAACGCCGAGCCTGGTAAGTACCTAGATGGAAGACTATTTGGGAATACCAGATGCTGGAAAACTTCGTTGTACTATAATGGATAGAATTATTAACCGGAGAGCTGAGTTCCAATTCCCGTTGGGTTCATTATATTCACTTACGTGCAGGTACCCCTGGGAAAGGTATGACTATCTCTTATGGGTTAATCAATAAAACTTGTATCAGTAAATTATTATTATTTAAAATAAAATTCTTGCAATATAAAAATATTTTTTGATTTTAAATAAAATTCAAAGGGTTGATAAGCTGTAGAAAACAAATCAATATTGCCTCTCTTAAAGAGATAAGAAGTTCTACAAAATTAAATAATAATCATAATAATAATAATAATAATAATAATAGCAATAATAATGTTCTTTTATTTATTTATTTTATAATGTCCATACTAGTTTTAAAATGTTCAAATTTCTTACATAATGAGAGAAATTGGAAGTGTTTTTTCTTTACTCAGTGACTATACTTAATATTTTTGTAAATTCTACTTCTTCGCTGAATGTTTGATACTAAATGAATAAAAATTTCAGAATTCTCTCTTTAAAACATAAAAGAAATGCTTATTTTCTTTCATGCTGTTAAATTTCTTTAATAAATATATTTGAAGTTGAGAAAAACAAATGGCTCTTACCTGTATTTTCGCCATTTTTGTTTCAATGACTTAATTATCTTGAAGCTGAGAAAATCTTTGTTAATGGCGGTTCCACGTTAGATTAATCTGAATCGTTATCAACGCTCTAAGCTGCGCTGGTTTGAACAATAGAACCTTATTGGATACATTCTTCAATATTTTTAGTAACCTTGACGAAAACTGTAAACTCAGACATAATAAAATATTTTTCGATACAATAAATATATAAAATATTTGACATTCACGATTTTTTTTTTCGTTGGGTGTAGGGAAATTAAAATTTAGATAATTATTAAATAAAATTAAATTTTGACAATTATATCAGAATTGGTCTCATCTTGAAATTATTTCTTCAAGATTGTATTTTCTGAAGAGTGTGGGATAAAAAAAATAAAAGAATATACATATTTTAGATTTATTGTAATATTTTTAAAAAATTGACTTGCAAGGGATTACGGCAAAAAAGGTCTTCAAAATTATTCAGTTGAATAGAAAATTTGTTTATTGTTATTAGTTTTTGTCTGCTTTAGCCATATCATTTGTCGATATAAAAAAGTTTACTGGTGCGTTTTACATGCAATGATTTATTAAGGAAGTATCCAATATTTCTTTTATATTAATTCATATGGCAATTTTTATTTATTTCATGACTAAAAAGCAGAATTCTAAAAATGTATTCTCCAGGCAAATGTCTCTTTACGCGCCTGTATATTCATTTTTATAGCAGTATATATATATATATATATATATATATATTACTGTTAATTTGAACGGATGCTTTTGAAGTCAAAATAGCTGGTTTTTCAGTGGTTTGCTGATAAGGAGGCATTTAACGCAACCAGACATTGTGGTAGAGTGCTCAATATCGAAGACAGAGATAAAGCGTTAATAGAATTAACATGAAAAAGCCTTTTCACTTAACTCATGCTTACTTCGAAGTTTCGTGGCAACATAGATGTTGCCATTCGTCGGAGCGGATTTAATATATATATATGTGTGTGTGTGTGTGTGTGTGTGTAACAATTTACTATATATTAATAGTGCAAAAGTGTCCAATATCGGAGACAGCGTTTGTTGATAGAGATACTGAAAATATAGGAATCAATACCCCCCACTATACTCACACACATAGATTCGCTTACCCGCTTACTCTGAGATTATATATATATGAACCCGCTTCCCCCAAGACAGAGGGAACTACCATTAAACCCGGTCCGCTCTAACTGAGCTACGGAGAATAGTCGGTCAGGCAAGGCCAAATTTTGTGCCTTTAAGCGAAATTTCTCTCGTCATAGATCTCTCGAAATTTTTCATATCTCCACAGTTTCGTATCCAAACGCAAACAAAGAGAATTGTTCAGCGGATGTTTTTATTAACCCGACAGAATTTTATCACTTTTAAAGGTTATTTTAATGGATACTCAGATTTAATGTTCCGTTTATTTATTAAACAGTTATTCATTTCTTTATTTTCGAACTTTTTGAATATTCGAGAAATCTTATTAAAGAAAAATTTGCAGGGGAGCGCACATTTTTTTTTTAATAAGAACTAGTGCGTGCCCTGTCTAATATATATATATATATATATATATATATATATATATATATATATATATATATATATATATATATATATATATATGAATGAAAGGAAGTGTTGAAAAGGTCTCCCACACAAACATACACACACACACATATATATATATGTATATATATAAATGCGTTAATATTTGAAACCTGCTTTAGCTAAATAAATGAAACGGGGACCATATTTAAAATATTTAAAAGATTAAGTTAATTTTCTCTAGCATTTTATTGTTGCTCTACTTCGATCCAGAAAATCTAACAAGTTTACAGAGTTGTTCTCATAAATACACAATCAAGTTAAGATAATTTATTTCACTTTTAACCATCTTTTCTCACTGACATATAAATGCCATATCAATGCAATATTTTCAAAGTCCCCACATCACTGTCTTTTTTTCATTAATTTTCTTTATTGGAAACTAGATTAAACGCCTGATTCTGTGCAGACTTTTACGCTAGCTATTGCAGAGGGCTAATTGGACCTCTGGCCCAAAACTGAAGGGACCTCTGGCCCAGCTTAGAAAACAGCAATGACAATGTTAAAGAAATAATTTTGAATTCTCCAGTTCACTCCATGGAACTTTAATTTCACTTTAAACCTCACTTTAACTCTGATTCGAGCTATAAGTCCAATTCCGGTCAAAAGACCGATTTGGGCCGAAAGCCCGATTTGGGCCAAAAGTCTGATTTGGGCCGGAATTCCCTTTCAGGCCGAAAATTAAGTTCTTCAAAACCACACGTCACGAAAACTATCACTTTAACAATGATTAAAAAAAAAAAAAAATTAGGAGATATTTTAAACTGAATTTAAAACATTTTTGTTTTAAATTCGCAACGTTTTTGCATTATTTTAAACTTAATATAAATTAAAAACATTTAAAATCACTAATTTTTTTCAGTTATTTTAAAATTTGAATTTTTAACTGTTCCTGTCTCATCCAGACACAAATCTCAATTCTGGATATTCAGGCACCAGATGAAGGGCAGATTTTCAATCCCGGGATCATCAAGATTCCAAAAAGGAATAATAAGTCTATGTAGACACACGGACGAACAGATAGAATTTGCCATTTATCTGTTTATTTTAAATCGTTTCACCCCAAGTAAGACTATAATGCCACTAAGATACAAGTGGTTACAAGGAGTCAGAGAGAATGAGAGGACTTTAGTGGATTTGACTGAGGAAAGGACAAAAAAGGAACAAGGTTCAAGAAGACAGAAGGTGACAATTAACGTTGCATTTTAAATTTTACAAGATTGTATTTATCAAGGAAGCAAGAAAATGGAAGGGAATTCCATAGGTGGGAAGTACGAGAAAAGAATCTGTTATAGTAGAAGTGGTGGCTGCATGTTGCTAGTTCAATAGTAAAATTGTGAGACCTAGTTGCCAATCCAGTAGCACGCTTAAATTCATGTATTCAAGGCACAAGGGAAAAAAGCTCACTAGAACAGTTGCCATGAAAATATATGTAGAAAAGACAGAGGGAAGCCACGTCACGCCGGTCAGAAAGTGACTGAAGTCGAGATGCCAGACCCTTCTTTGAATTTTCAAAATTAAGCATAAGACCATCATCTTTCCGCTATCTCCGCCCACAGTAGATTGCGCACTAATTTCAGATAGCTCTCTCCAAGGAGCTTGGCTTTGAGTAGCCATATTTGTTCTACCTCTGACTCATGTAACATACCAGTCCGAAGCTGATGAAACGATCTCATGATCACCGCTGTTACATAAATTCAGGCCTGCTGATCAGCTCTCCTGATCACGGGGTGGTCCTCTCTGATCTGGAGATCTATGGTTTGGCATTTTTCCATACTATTTCTATCAGCTTACTCTTCCGTACTGGCTTCGCATAACATGGAAAAAGATAAAAAAGATTTATACACAAGAAAATTTAAAGAAAGTTGTCCTACTCCATAAGGTTGATTTACTAATCTAGACTTTTTATAGCGTAGGTTTTCCTTTTCTTGAATAGAATGCCTTGACTATAGCTAAGGAATTTCAACACCATAAACATAAAGTATGTTTGATTAAAATGGATTATATATAAGGGTGTTTCATTAAGACGGATCAAAGTTAGCAGTAAATAAATCAGTGCTGTTGGTGAAAATTTATTTATTTCTCTATTGGATCATATTATTTGTCATGGCAATTATGCGTGAAAAATAATATCGCCTAAATGTCCGCCAAATCTGAAAGAAAAAGAAAAAAAATCATTAGACGCTTTAATTAATTCACATTTAAAAACGGTTCAAGTTATTGGAGCACCCTTTATATGTATCTAAATTTACATGCATTTACGTCAAGAATAATAAAACATGACTCCTTCCCCGACAAATTTACTACTAGTACAATGCGATATTATTAAAAACAATAACGATGAGAATAAAAGCAGTAAAAAGCTGAATGAGATAAGTTAACAAGTAAAAGCATCGGACGTTAAAATTTTAATTTAATGACTGAACGACCCTGTTTCTTTAACCTTTTAATGTAAATTGTAACCGGCGTTTGTTGTCGTTCCCACTCAACTTTTTTTTTTTTCGATTTTTATATATCGATCAATAAACTCTTTATAAGTCTGAAGAAAATCTTTCTCGGAACAAAACTGTGCGACTAATGCGCTTTTACATCATGTCATTCACTGACCCACTGTTAGCCTGGTATATATATATATATATATATATATATATATATATATATATATATATATATATATATATATATATATATATGATCGAAATAAAAGTGTAAAATTTAATATTACCAGACATATTAAAAATTTAAAAAAAAAAAAACAAGGGGAAGCAACCGGTTTCGCTCCCGCTCTTCAGGCTTCTGTAGGTGTTCAGGACGAGTCCATTCAACGGAGTCGTCCGAACACCTACAGTTCCTCATATGCGAACATCGGGCCCCGCAAGCCTTCTTTGTGCAAACAACGTGAGTTCTTGTTGGGACTCGCTGTCATCTGCCTCTAGTTCCTTCTGCATATATATATTGTGTGTATATATATATATATATATATATATATATATATATATACGTAAATTTTTTTCTCCCCCCTCCCAATTCCTCTATTGTACATTTTTTCTGCATTAATTTTGAATCTCCCGTTGAAGCCTGAAGAGCGGGAGCGAAACCGGTTGCTTCCCCCTTGTTTTTGTTTTTTGTTTTTTTGTTTTTTTAATATGTCTGGTAATATCAAATTTTACACTTTTATTTCGATCATTAAATTTTGTACCCACAAAAATATCTTTAAAATATATATATATATATATATATATATATATATATATATATATATATATATGACTGATATTAAATATCTGTACAAAGTATATAAGAAAAATATGTGAAAACCATTTGGATGGTTTAATGTTTTGTTCAGTAATTTTGAAAATTTCCTTTTTTTCAGGCTTATCAAACCTTTGTGGTTTATTTAAAGCCGAAACATATTTGGAATTGTAAGAAAAATACTTCATTAAGAATAATGTTTTAGAATAACAATGATTTTTCCAGATACAAGTTCTACTATTTAACCCATAGCTTAAAATGATGTTAAAATTGTCCTGTAAGATATAGAATACGGTTTCAGTTGGTACTTATTCTGTCACTATCAACAGGTCACAAGTCAACAGATCGTTGGGGAAATAATTAGAATACAGAATGCACAATGCGGCTGCAAATATAATTTCAAATTACTTTTAAGGCAATTAATTGATTGATTGATTGATTTTTTTTACGGCTTATCAACCCGTCGTGGGTTATTTAAAATCGAAATATATTTGGGATTATAAGAATACCTTTTGTTGGGGAAGGGCTAGTGAATATTGCATTAACAATTTTTTAACAATAACAATAACTTTTATAGATACAAGTCCTACTATTTAATCCATAGATCTACGTGGGGGTGGGGAATAATTGGATTCATACCTTTTCTAAGGTTATTTGCGCGAAATAAACTCAATTGGAATTCGAACTCGACTCTAAGCCGATATCCATTGCACCACCTGCACATCTATTTTCATTCAATAAGAAATATATATATATATATATATATATATATATAATGGACTTTGAGGTAAATGCCAAGCGACGACAGTCTGTTTCATTTCAATTATGAAAGAGACTATCGCCGCTAGTGTTGACCGCAATGTCCACTTTATATTGACATACGCTCTATCCCTGATGTTGTGCACTTTAACCCAGAAATATATATCGAATTCTGAAATTTGTAGTTGTATTACTATCAATTAACAATATTCTCACTTTATCATTGTTTTCCAGTGACTAATCCTTCATACAGCTTTTTAAAAATAATACCTTTTATTTTATCTTTATTCTCCAGTCTTAAAAAACCTTGGGAAACGTATATAAATCCATCTCTCTCCTCCAGCTATGGATTAAATAGTAGGACTAGTATCTGTAAAAATCATCATTATCAAAAAATTTTAATGCAATATTCACTCGAAAAATAAACTGATAATTCAAAATATGTTTCGGCTTTAAATGACCCCCAAAATGTTTATAAGCAGTTAAAAAAAATCAGTCAATCAATATTTATTCTGCCAACGGCCTCATTTGTAAATCTATAATATTCTCCAAAATGCTTTCATTTCATTCATGTGTTCACCTTTACTTTTCTTCATACGTAAATTTGATATTTTATCCCTTTCTTAGGTCAATTTTCACCCGAAACAAAAGACATTACAGAAGAGTATACATTTTAAGTTACGCTTCAGATAATTGCTGCATAACTGCCTTACTGCTCTGCAACAATGCCTATCATTGATGACGTCATACACTTACCGCTTTAATACACAGCTCAGAAAGTATCAGAAAACCCCCTGGTGCATGAAAAACAAATCACGGATTAGAGTATCGAAAATTATTGTCCCTTTGGTAACGAGAGAATCAATATAGATACGATATCACTTATGAGATTAGTATGATTGCCTGGCCCTCACGGTAGAGCCGAGGAAAGCCGACAGCATCCTCTGCAAACGGGTAAAACATCACATTCAAAAACGGAGCCACTTACTGAAAGAATGTTTATTGACTCGGGTATAGACGATCAATGGTTGCCGGTAGAGTCGAGTATAAACACAACCGGTGTCCGCCTACAGGCGCGAAAGAAAAAAACTTGATGCAACAAAAATGTAGTTGTACAGAAGGATATTGAGAACAGATTGAACACGTGAACAAAGGCAAAGGTTTAAAGAAAATTGGAACAAAAATGGAAACTTATACTTAATATCAGAAAGAGACTGGAAATTTCTAGAAGGAATAATGAGGAAAG